TCGTAGCTATGGGCGGAGGGATGCGGCGAGATACGATTCGCGAGTGTCGCGGTCGCACGTCGGCCGAAGGCATCTTTCTTTCCGCTGCCGCTTTCTGTACGCTGATTTGTTGAGACAAAATAATTAATTTCTCAAAAACTATTGCGAATATCGCAAAACGGCACAGGACTTTCTTGCTCACCTCAATCCGTTCTACGTTCTCACCAAGGGTCATCATGGGACTTCGGGACACCCTGTATATAATCATGTATAATCATGTATAATTATATCTATAATTTCATATATAATTTTACATAATTATGCATACAATTATATGTAATTATACATATGATTATACATAACTGTGTATAATTATATACCCAGATAGCCAAACTTGTGCGAGTAGATTTTACGCAGAGTCTGTCTACATTGTCTGTTGACAGAATGGCAACAGACTGCACACAGAAACTGTTTTACCAGTTACTGACGACAGATTGGTGACAGACTGCGCGCAGAGCCTGTCGACAGCCTCTGACGACAGACTGCCGGCAGATTGCGCGCAGATTCTGTTTCCTAGATAGGCTATTTAATTCTATTAATGGCCATATGTACATTATTAAATGGAGCAGTTTCACATACACACCATGTAAAACTGCTGCAGAGAAGTCAAGATAATTATATTGTGCAATAATTGTACACATATACATAATAAAAAACAATGTTTATATTTTAAAATTGTATTACACATTTTTTATAAAAAAGCAACAATAATAGAGAAATAACGAGTACAAATATAGAATAGTACAACGGTTAAATGGCCATTTAAAGGCGTACACATGTCATTCCTGGTAAAAATTGTTCTCATAATTTTTTATACAATTTCTCATCTTATTATTTTTTTTAATGTTGTTATGTCATTAAATCCGATTTAACCGTCATGCAATAAGTACTGAAGGCAGCAGCACCGAATAAAATATTAGTCTCGCTATGTAAATAACTTTTACAGAATTTTTTTGATGGTTTATTTAAAAATATATCATGCTTCGATTTTGATAAAACTTAATACAATCTGAACGGGACGATCGACCAAATTAATTCGCACATGTAAAAGTACAGTATTTTATTAACATGATAGAAAAATGTCATTATCTGCTGTTTTATTGCAGTAATTTTCTATACATTCCTTGGTAGAAAATTAATTTCGAATTATCGTACCAGTCT